ATAAAATAAAATAAAATAAAATAAAATAAAATAATAATAATGCATTTTTCTGATTGGTTCTTCGGTCATTAATTGAAACTGCACAAATTATCGACCGAGCTTCTCATGTACCTCTAAGGTCGGGTCCCGGAGATTTTTGGCCACCACAAGCCCCGTTTATTGAAAGCCGTTTCTTAAGGTTATATGGTTAAATTTCTCCATCCGCGAATCCCAACAAGCTAAATGCCAATTCAATCTACCAGTTAGCATTAAGAAGATTGTTCCAGGATTTGATAAAGTTTATGTATGTTTTCTGTCTCTCGTGAAACGTCTGTTGACCATTAAAAAATTCATTAAAATTAGTTAAAAAGAATGGCAAAAATCTCCAAGTAGAAGAGATAAACAAAATGTGGTCGTCTTTAGGGAGAAGGTTTGCAAAAGGTAAAGTGAAATTTAGGGAAACGATGAAAACGTGGTCACGTTTGCCGTTTGCGGGAAGGAAAAACGGGAATCTTAATCTGCCTAATATCTTGCATATAGTAGCCTCTTTCGAAGACGTTAAGACACCGACGCGAATAATGTCTACAAAAGAGGATACACCTATAGCTAATCATCCATCTATGCAAATTTCAGTAGCAACGCTACTTTTTGACTGATAAGTAAGTCATCACAGAGATGATTGCGGCAGCAGGGAGCGAGGAAAACCCAGCGACTTCACGTTCAGACGAAAGCTTTTCCTCCACGTAAACGGCAGGACTTCCAGATTCTGTATTGATAGCATAATTAAACGCACGTATAAGTCTGAACTTTGTTATTACAGATTATCTAAACTTTTAAATAAACCTTGTCTCAACAGAATTGACTAGCAATGTCAAGGTGAGTTTGATCGAAGCTGCATTAAAATTCAGTGGCCGACTCATATTCACATTAACAAAAGGACGGGCATTAATAGATCGTTCTTTGGATAAAAAGCACTTTGAATTGTAGATCTTTGTAATCATTACAATACATTGAATATATTAATGAGTTTCACACTGCAGCCTAACCGTGCTTAGCACTAAAACTAGTTGTCCTAACAGGTGCGAGTATTGATGATTTGGCATAAAAAGAGTTGTAAACAACTCCATCCGGTAATCTTATCGTCTTTTTTTGAAGAAAGTGAACATCGAGAAAAGATTGTAAGGTAGGTGAATAATTTGTTTGGAATTTCTGTTCATGTGTTTGTTTAAAAAACAAAATTACTGTACTGTAATTGCTGTTTTATTGATTACCGTTCTCCTTGTACCTTAAGAGTGACTCAAAAAGGTTGATATGTTTGTTCAACTATCTTGTAGCATCAGTAGGATTTACTTCACGACTTTTAGTCTAGTTTTTGTCATGTTTGATGACCGCTTATTCTCTCAGTAAAGACCATGATTTCTCTTGGTGATAAAATCATTGAACCCGAAATAATTTATTTTAGGACGTTGCTTTGCTCGAAAGGCCTCAATTGCACTATCTGCTACGYCTATTCAGAAATAGGTCAGTTGATTTCTTTTCCAAATTCAAATTGAAAGTATAAAAGTCTTTTTAACCCGAAAACTCCTATTTTTAAAGCATTTTGAACGATACCAATTTAATGCCCACTTCGAAACAATTAAAGTAATTATAATCAATCGAAATTTTACCGAATATTTTTTTCTCAGCTCAGCCCCAAGTTAATAATAATATTGAAATAAAATAAAATAATATAAGTGGGTAAAAACAAATACAGCATATAGAAATAAATAAAGCTGGTTTCCAATTTGGCTCACTAAGTTGTTCCCTTGTTCAAAATTACTAATAATACTGATAATTCGGTAAAGGTTTGAGTGTTCAGATTTCTTTCTTACACTTAAACGCGGAATTTGTGAAGAAAACTAGGTTTTTAGCAAACTAGGTACACTTAGTTTGAGGTATTTATTGTCATTTCTATTTTAATCTCTCGTCCTCACAGACTCGTTAGATTTTTTTAAGAGTTATTTGTAAACATACATTGTGCACCCAACCTAACAGAATCAACTGGCTTTTATCAATTTCACAGTAAAACGGCAAATAAATAAATATATTTTCATTATTTTTAATAAAGAAAAAATAAAAAATAAAAAAATAAAAAGATTCTAAAAGAAATAGAGAAAAAATCTTGAAATTTTTATCATACTATTATTTTTCCTGACCGCATCGACCATCATTTAGGTTATGAATATAATTACTTATATAAAAAAAGTAATTAGCTCGTAAACTCATAACTTCGATGATAAAATATTATTAACATAAGGCTTCGTTCACTTATCAATCACTTATGTCAATATATACTACTGTTTTGATAGCTGAATTCATTTGACTGCCTAAAATTGTCGATTGATCTGCGTAAGAAATTATTCAGCGTTGATATGTCGAATTACACAGGAAACACAACAAAAGCTTGGAATTTATTAAGGCTGAGATGTGCCATGTTAGGGAAGCTTCTTTACGGGACGAGCGAGTTCTTTAATTTAGACGCGGTTATGAATGAATAGAATTAATCAGTAATGAAGTGGGGGTTGATCAGTGGGGTGAATACATGGTAATGACAAAGAAAAAGAAAAGGAAAAGGAAAAAGATAGAGAAAAAGAAAAAGAAAAAGAAAAAGAAAAA